CCAAAAGAGAAAGCCATTGGTATCCCCGTTCTCTCAATATGAGAAATGCAGTGAGACTTATTGGCTCAATGTTGATCAAGCTGCTCATCTAGATGTTCCAGTTACAAATCTGAACATCACTTTTAGCCGCCCCATTGGCTTTCTCTTTTGGAATACGCCACGCATTTGACCTCCGTCAACGGCGATGTTTGTCATCTTGATGAAAGACAATACCCGCGATCAAGCGTAACAGGTTGCAGGTGCTCAGTCATGAACCAGTAGCCCATCAAAAACACATGGAAAAAGAAGAAGCGAAAAAAGTTTGGGGAAACTCTGGCCCAGACCCCTCCCCCTAGCGAAGGAGCCGGCGCCTTAGACGCGTTCATCGGGAGGACAAGTTCAATCAGACGGATTCAACCAGTCCGCGGCCAGATCATAGGAAATCGCCCTACAACGCTCCAGGCAACGCTATGTACACACGCAATTCCGCTTGTAAGCCGTTGTCTTGCAGAGTTACAGTACGCGGTTGCACCGGTTGCAAAACTCACGCGTCTCTAGCTTCGTTATCTCGCCATTTCGAGTGACGAAAGTGGTATATTCTCTGCGAGTGCGGACAACGATGCCAAATGCACGGAGGCATTTCGCTGATCACTTGATCGCGGGGAGTGTCATTAATGGATTTTGATTGCGTATTTTGGCGGTGGGGATAAGCGTGATGTACACTGTGACTGTGCAGGTTGACATACTTTTTGATACAATTCAACATGTCCAGAGAGAAGGCCCAGATCCATGTATGGCCTGTGTTGTATCAATTGGCACAGGATCAAGCCCGGCCGAAAATACAAATGGCATTGATCTCAACTTCAATTCGATCATTTCCGTTCGTTTTTGTTTACTATTATCTTTTTTTACTTGTCGAAATTCTTTTTGTCAATGATAGCATCATCACAGGCTTTTACGTAATCCATTTAGAACAAGAGGAGTCCTCTTCAAATAGCCCGCGGCTTTATTACGGTGGTGAATAATGCCAAGAACATGTTTCAAATTCTAGTGAGAGAGGTAATAGAACGTTTTCCGGAAAAATTTGGATTTTACTGGAAGTCAGCTTACCAATGAATCCTTAAACTTTACGGACGAAATAACCTTGCCAATATGAATTTACCGTAATGATTTAGTGAGCAAAATCTGCCTCCTTTACTTGAACTAGTTCATTGATCGGTCGAGCGTCTTCTTACGAATTCCGCCTACAAATGAAGTGGTATAGTCCAGATGATTATCCCAATGCTGTGCTAACTTGTTCCTTTCCCGCACAGTTGTTTTGAATAAGCCTGAACACTGGAATGTGATCATTCTAAGAGCTTCTTGTGGATGTTCCGAAGCAAACAATCACAATCACTTTGATCGAAACTCATTATTTAAAAATCACTGACAGTTTAAGGAGCACCTGGATCCTTGGGTTCGTGGCTAACATATAATATTCCTTATTTTCGGGGCTTAACCGAAACTTTGCACTACTTGTTTGTAGTCAACACTTTGCTTCCCTGTGGAAGAGGGCTAATGCGTTTGACCGATGACTCTTGGCGGCGAGCTCAGGTTTCGAAGGGTACCCCAGATCACCAGGTCGCGCTGAGAACTTGTTGTAGGCTAATCTACATTCTGTTAATATGACATTCATGCCTTGGCGCTGGCGCTATGGCTACGATTATCTACTGGTTCAGCTTTGGAAGAGGGCAGATGATCGCAGTTTTCTCCATTAGCGCCAACGCCAAGAATGAATGTCATAGTCGTAATCAGAATGTTAATAAACTTCAAGTTAACTTCTGTTTCAAGTTTGGTCTGCGGATTTTTGGTAATCTAGCACTTTATAATTAGCTCGCATCCAAAATCAGCGCGGACCAAGCCCATTAGCTTGGTAAAGAAGGCGCACTATTACCCTTTGTTAGCATGAGGTTGGCCCTACATTCACTGTCTCCTGAGTAAGGAGAATAAACCGTCTATTCTCGCAATTCCACAAATAGGGCCTAGTAGACGCCCAGTTATTGGAAGTTACCAGGAAGTAGTGCAACTTAATGACTACTCCTAGTTTTTTCATTCTTACTTCATTTCCGTGGAAAAGAAGGGAGGCGGACTTGGTGTAGAGAAGTGAACGGAATGTCTCAGGAGCTTATAATAAATTTGCATCGGTCAAATTCTTTTCGAAACCAATACCAATATAGAGGGGATTTCGCTGGTCTTCTTTTAACCATTATGTTTTTTGATCGCATAGATGAAAATGGGGAGGTTTTCCACATGGGCCTTTCCAATTCATAGATACATTTTCCGAGGTTTCTAGAAGGAGCTCTTGGAGATCGTGGGAGTAAATTCGCTAGCAATGATCGTGAATAAGGCACGGTCAATAATGTCATCTTTATTTAATCCCATACGGGGTCCCGCTGGTTTGACATCGTAAAAGCTTGACATCAGCGGATAGGCGAGCTCTGTCAGAACCAGAGTAGAACCACAATAGTCTCATTAGAGCGTCCAAGAATGAGGTGGAATGTGGGTGGGTAGACTTTTAAGCGAATCGACGCTCATGGTCAGTTCTGTACTTGTAGCCACCTTAGTCATTCCTTAGTGTGCCATCTCAACCTAAATATCAGCTAATGGCTAACTCTGTCTAAAGGACACAAACTGAAAAAAAGAACTGAGCAAAAATATCAGAAAACTTTCTAGTGTGCTAAACGAAGTGTCTCATACCTGATAAGATTAGCTACGTTCCAGTGCACTTCGTCAAGCGGTCAACCCGTGCGTTATTCTCGCGAATGGTGTCACTCACTGGATGTGCCGTTCTTTCGATTTTCGCCCATGATGCGGACAGGTGTGCAGCTGGACAACACGGACACTGACGTACTTATCCAAATGCTTTGGGAGACAGAGGTCTGTAAGAATTCCTCAGTTTTTCAGTTGGGCAAGTTGAAGTAGAGCGTGTTCTCAATTCGATTTTCACGGCTAATGCCGTTTGGACTCCAGAAATTTCGGCTCCGAGCTCATTTTCAAATTGCCTAAGCCACCAAATCCACTAAAAACTTGTATATAGGGGTAATTCAACATCCTGATTACGAGTATGACACTCATTCTTGGCGCTGGCGCCAAGAGAGGACACTACGATTACCTCCTGGGCTCAGCCTTAGCAGAGCGCAGGTAACCGTAGTGTCATCCATTAGCGCCAGCGCCAAAAATGAATGTCATATTCGTGATCAGGATGTTGAATTACCCCTATATACAAGTTTTTAGCGGATTTGGTGATCTTGCCACTTTTAAAATGAGCTCGAAGCCGAAATTTCTGGAGTCCAAACGGCATTAGCCGTTTCCCTCCTCTCTTTCATTCCTGCTGAACCTATAAAACACGACGGATACCTCGCGTTTCAAATGCTGAGCTCTTTGTTGTTACTGGTATTGGAAGAATGGCTTAAATGAAGACTTCGATGGAGGATCATACTCCAGTTGCTAGAGTAGGGAGACAGCTTCGTGGGTGCACCCCTAGCAGCGTTCAGACTTCGCTACCATTGCAATGGCGCTCCAACGCTAGACGGAAACGCGGACATAGGTGGGCATCTATCAACGGCGACCACTAAGTGTTTTGAAGGAGAAAGCAGGAGGAACAGGAGGGTTTCGTTGCCTAAACAGCAGGTTGGCACTCTGTTGCTTCACTATACTCTCCCAAAACACTAGCGGTCTACCCCGATCGATATCTATCAATGCGTTTCGGCGCTTACGTCCAGCATTGGAGCGCCACTGCAATAGCATCGCGTCGACGCGCGTCATCGCGAAGTCCGAACACTGCCTTAGTTTGCAGTCGTGGGGCGCGGCGCTAGAAGCGTAGACAGCGCAGCTATACCAGGAACCCATCAGTACAAGGTGGCAGTGTTGCGTTATGTCAAGCCTATGAGCTGCTGAATACACTGCTGATTTGTGACGAATGACTCGACGCGGGATTAATGTTAGAGGCCTTGGTCTACATTGAGAGTGTGTAAAACTACTGGGGAAGGAGTATAGAATCTTGCCGTTGTTGTTCGGTAATCCTACACCAGGATTCGACTGCTTCTGCTCCAGATTGGTGGAGGTGAGAGTAGAATTTTAGGTCGAAAGAGCTTGCCCTGAAGATGAAATAGGAAA